AGAACTGATTGGTGTCAAGCTTTTTATTTGGACAGAGGCAGTTGGGGAGAACCAGAGGTAACAAGACAGGACCAGAGGCAATTTCTTTTACCAGAGAGGATTGTCGTCCACACACTTTACACCGACACAGTGTGGTGTGAAAAACGGGATCGCAATAAATCATTTAGTCTCAATCGGCCACTTGTGTTGGGGGGTTGGTGGGGGGGGGTGGGGGGGGGGGGGGGGGGGGCAGGTTTGTGTAAAATATGAGTCTGAATTGATTTTGCTGATATGGAACATGTCAGAAATCAATCTGGGCTCATTTTTGTAATTGGATGATGGCAGGAGTTTATGGACAGTCACTCAGTTAATGGCCGAGCACTTCTGTGATGAAAGGCTGGGACCGGCACGTATTTCACCGTTTCTGCACCATCATCTTTATTACAATGATGTCTAGTTGTTGTTGTTGTTGTTGTTGTTGTCCTGAGAGCAGCCTCCACAGTACACAAACATACACACCTTCATCCTGAAGAAGGTGATGCTGGTCAGCAGGTCTACCGTGGACTTGAGATCCTGCAGTCTCTCTGGGTTTCCTGCAGGGAAATTATCCTGGAATAAAGGAGTAAAAACAGAGAGAGAGAGAAAATTAAAACGTCCATCGTAGCCTCGTTCACTTAGAGGAAAAACACTACAACTGATTACTGCTCAACAGGAAAGTAATCATAACAGAACGACTGTCCGTCTCGTCAGTTAGTGGACAGAGGAGGTCTCCGCTGATGAAAACCTCCGTTCCAGGGCCATGAAGTCATCAGGCGGAGCAGAGCAGCGTGACGGCAGCATTTAAAGCCCTGACCAGCCTGAGGGAAGAGCTGCTGCTCCAGACACTCTGTCCCTGCAGGTCGTCTGTCTTCAAACAAAAGAAATCCTGGTTTCCTTTCCAAAAGATTGACTGAGATTCTTTTTTATACCTGAGATTAAGGCCAGCAGATCTTTTTTTGGACTCCAGGGCATTTATAGGCTTAGCACTGATTCAAGGAAAATCTCCAGGAAAGGAGATGAAAGTCGAACTTTAATGTTGTGGAATATTTATATAGAATCTGCTCTGAACTACTCTCTGCTGCACAAATCCTGTCTAACAATATGATGAAGAGTCAACGAGGTTGGGTGAATATTCCTCAAACTGTGTTGCTCTGTAGAAAAGACGTTTGTTTTAATAAATAGAACCAGAAACCAGAACAATCAGCAAAAACAGGAAAATAAATGGAGCGCCTGAAGTGGTGGCTGAATGCTAATGAAGCACAACAACTAGCTGGAGGCTACATGAAGACAGACACTCAGAACCAACCGACTCCGTGTCCAGTCTGACTCTGACAGAACGACTCTGTTTGTTGAGGTACAGTTGGTGGTACTAAAGGTCAACAGGTCAGCGTCCACACAGCTCAGAGCAGGTGAGAAAGTACTGATACAGACGTCCCTACAGTTAATGAGTTCCTCCCAGAACGTATCGACGCCTCAGTCAGAGCTGCGGGACAATTAACTGGTTCAGTTAATTCAGAGGAATTTATCGGTGGACGAGTCCTTGTTAAACCTCAGACGGGATCGACTCGAGCTCATTGGCTGCTCTGTCTGGGATTTTATATCTTGAAGGCAGCTATTGTTCCTGGCTCTTTTATAGAACAAGTCCTTAAAAAGTTTTATTGGTAACAGAGTTAGGGTGAATGTCACTGATTTATTTAACACCGAGAACGGTTTTAAAGAGACGGCCGATGGAAGTATTTATGACGGTGTAGAAAAGAAGGAACGATGGAGGAGATATTATTTAGAGGAAGAAAAAAGAAAACGATGCTGAACAGAAATCAGGAGGTGAGTGTGTGTGTGTGATGTGCTGAACACACCAAACCTTCACATATATTTATTATCCTGAATGATGAGCCTTCATTACATCACAATCTTATCAGTTCTCTCCTGTTAACAAGTGTTTTTGTTTGACCTCTGAAGACTTGGTCTCTGACAGAGACTCTTCAAATGTAACAAGAAGTTGAATCTCATCCTGGACTGGATTTGACTTCAGGTGGTTTTTTTGCACATTGTTTTACACAGAATGAATATAAAGGTTTCTGTCACGAGTTGATGAAGTTCTGTGTCAGTGATAAACAGTCGCCACAGTTTGGAGCAGCCATTCTACTGACCTGTGTCTGTGAACTCCTCTGGGTACAAACTGATGTTTTCATTCAGGAACAGAGTTCCATTTTAGGAGAGTAACATAAAACTCCCTGAGCTGAACAAACCCGTCTTTACATCCAGCTAAGCTCACAGTCTGCACTGAATACTGAGGTTCTGTACCAGGTGTCACGGTGCATCACTGCTGTGGGAATCATCGCTAAAAGTGGAGGAAACGAATGTTTCAGCAAAATGCAGAGTGGCAGCTCTGACTGTCCAGGTCCATCAACCAAACCTTCTGTTTTAAAAACATGGAACGGATTTTAGGGAAATCCATAAACTGGATGTGAAGAAGAGCAGATCTGAACCGAGTTACTGTCCAAGAGCAGCAGCAGTAGCAGCAGCAGCAGCAGTAACAGCAGCAGCAGCAGTAACAGCAGTAACAGCAGCGTGAACTCTCTCTCTCTCTCTCTCTCTGCATCACAATGTGTGTGTGTGTGTGTGGTTGTGAACCAGCGGAGTGTGTGACAGCCTTGACAACAGAGCAGCAGGGCGGTGCTGGCAGGTGAGGTGGATGTGATGTTCTGTGACTGTGTTATCATCAGACTGCCAGGCCACACGTTCACCCTCTCTGTTCTCTTCTCCACCGTCACATATCATGGTATTATCTCTCTGAGAACTCCTGACGTCCGACCCGTCTCTTCAAATCCTCTTTATCTTCCCTCATTGTCTGAAACTTCATTTTTCTGTCTCTCTTCTAAAGTCCACATTATTCTAATTCTTTTTCTTCTTCTTCTGCCTCATTGTCTTGAAAGTCTGACAGTAGAAACTGAATTTTCTTCTTCTTCTGCCTCATTGTCTTCATCTCATCTCATGTCGTTCATCTCTACAGTCGTGTGGTTTCACACAGTCACAAACAGAAGGTTGAACCAGTCTGTAACACCAGCAGCAGCAGCTCTGTGATTGGTCAGTCTGTAAGACCACAGCAGCTCTGTGATTGGTCAGTCTGTAACACCAGCAGCAGCAGCTCTGTGATTGGTCAGTCTGTAACACCAGCAGCAGCTCTGTGATTGGTCAGTCTGTAACACCAGCAGCAGCTCTGTGATTGGTCAGTCTGTAACACCAGCAGCAGCTCTGTGATTGGTCAGTCTGTAACACCAGCAGCAGCTCTGTGATTGGTCAGTCTGTAACACCAGCAGCAGCTCTGTGATTGGTCAGTCTGTAACACCAGCAGCTATTAACATCAAGTTCATTAACTTGATGTTAATTATATATTTTGAGTTAGAAAATGATCATTATTTTACTGTTCAGGGCTGGGACTGAAGAGCGCGGGAACACAGTCATTTATTCAGCAGTGAAATAACTGTTGAAGTGAAGGTGAACGGTCGTCGTCTTCAAGGTGTTCAATTTCCTAAATGTACGACGCGCTGCGGCAGGTGAAGAGTTAACTCTACAGACCAGCTTTATTTATTGGGCCGTGCAGAGTCATATTTCAGCCCACACCACTGGACCGCAGGCTGATTATTGGTATTCATGTGTCTGACTTCGACTGTGGCTAAAAGTCCCCTGATAAAGAAGGAGACGGAGCAGAATCTATTCTGGACTAATTAACAGAGAGTCCACGGTCTATCAAAATAAAAAAGGCATAATGCATATAATGTTTGATTTGTCGTAATGTCAATAAATATATATACATATATATCTACAGATATACAGTATATATATGTATATATGTATTACTGGTGGCCTGAACAGTACGGTGGAACAGTGGTTAGTATTCTGCCTGTGGATATGGAACACATCAGATTTGATTGATCGTTAACTATAATAATATTATCATGTTTTCTCAGACAGACTGAATAATTATTTGGTGAATAAACCAGAAAAAAAACAGTCTGACTGAAGGACGTGAACGTGGAACAGAGAGTTTGAATTCAGGGACAGAGACGACCTATGAGACTGATGGGGCAGTGGGTGGTCTGCTGGGGCAGTAGGTGGTCTGCTGGGGCAGTGGGTGTCTTAGTGAGGTGGTCTGCTGGGGCAGTAGAACCTCAGCTGTGGACAGAGGGAGAGGGGACAACCTGAAGACGCAGGTCCGTCCTGCTGCTGTCAGAACCAGGGCCGCCCACACGGCACACAGTTCTAATCTGACATGTCGTTAAATCAACGTGAACAATTAGCACCTGAGGGTTAACTTTATGGTGCAATATATTTAATGTGTGCTATTAAATTTATATTCTTAATATAATTTACCTATGTAATCTAATTCACCTGTGTGATATATTCAGAGACTGAGACTTCCCCGTCGAAACTCACTTCACATCACATCATCATCACCTCGTCTGACCTTATGAAATGAATCACACATTTATATCACTGTATTTATCTGATCTTTTCTTCTAATATTCAATCCATCCTCTTCTATTTCTCATGATTTGGTCTTTTTTATAGACTATATCTTTTCAACAGTCACCAGCTTCACCTGAACTCCTCTCCTCTCATGTCATTTCTAACACAGTAACAGACATTCAGAGTCATCAGGTGTGTGTGTGCGTGTGTGTGTGTGCAGTAGACACTGAGTTCAACTGGGGTGAGTCTGCTCACACACACACATTCAACAGAAGGACCTCAGTAACGACCTCTGGAGGACAACAGAGACACGTTGGCTTTAACAGCCCAGTATAAAAGAGGCACAGAGCGCACGGTGAACCCAGAGGAACCAACCCAGAGGCCAGACGGCAGGTGGCTGGAATGACACCGCCGTTCTGGAATACTGAGCAGCGACCTGCTGGAGACCCCGCAGTTCATGAACACGTACGGCGTGTGGAAACACAGAGTACGAACCCGGTATTTGGAGAGATCGATCCTCAGGGAGTTGTGCAGCTGATCCAGAAGTTTCACAAATTTCTCCCTCTGAAGAAAAGAAAAAAGAAAATCTATGTTTTAGTGTCAACACTCCGACATGACTGAAGCCAAAGATTGACTACGTGGTTCTCACTTCCTGGAACTAAACTGTCTGATTCATAGAATCATCCACGACGCCAGAGTCTGGCTGTAGGTATGATCTGACGGCAACAACATTAGTTTATTACACAAACTTATTAAACCTTATTAACGGTTTTATTCAGAACATTCATGACGTTCATGTCTTTGATTCTGTAGGTATTCTTCTTCTTCTTCTTCTTCTTCTTCTTCTACTCGTCTGAAGAAAAGATATCGATTGTTTCTCACCCCAAAGTTTGAGGCGGCGAATCGATCCGAAGCTGAGGCAGTGGTTGTGGTGGTCGTGGTGGTGTGGGCAAAGTAGGCATTGATGTTTGCGAGGAGGTTGCTCATCACTGCTGGAACACCAGGACACATGTACTTGGCAGACAGACAGGAGAAGTGTCTGGAAGAGGAGATAAAGAGGAAACAGAGTGAAGCCTCGGGGACACAACCATGTTTGAAGAAAATAATGAACTGGAAAATGAAGAAACGCATTTGAATCAATGACAGCAAAACTGAATATTCAAGTTCCTAAAGAAATTCAGAAATAAGTGAGTTTTCATACAGACTGTGTGTCCTTGACTAAGACTAAACTAAACCACCAACTGAAATATCTCAGAATCCTCTGAAGGTTCAGCATCAACACCAGAGAAGGACTAGAAAATCCTCTTCTGGTTTTCCAAAACCACAACTTCAAATGCACAGATTTACTGACATGTTTTTAATTGTATTATTTTATGGTAAACCAGTGTAAACTCAATGACTATTCTCAGCAGAGGCCGCCATAAATCAGCCACGTGTCATAAAGAACAAATGGTATCAGACGAGGAAAGACAGATGAAGAAATGAGCGTTTCCTCTGGACACTGAGGTGAAAACTAAACCTTTAGGACAGAGCAGATGAGAAGAAGTTAGTTTTACTCATTAATTCATTAAACTTTCACAAAGACTTTTGGGACAAAATACTGTACGTGCTCTTCACCACTGAAGTGTTTCCACTGAGGTTCAACCAGACTCTGTTAATGACGCTGTGTTCAAAGTCGTTAAAAACTGAACAATAAAAGTCTGGTTTAGGCTGAAGGAACGTCAACATTAAACCCTGACCCCTGACCTCTGACCCCTGTGTGCTCACGGGTCAGGGACATGAAATCACATTCTGATGATGCTCATTATCTCAGTGCCTCATAGTGAATGTGATGAGTCATAGACTAAGAATAAATGATGGGGGAGAGTGTGCAGTGTGATGCCTGGCTGTTCATACATGTGACGATCTGTATTTAATCCAAAAAGTTAAGAGAATTTATTTTGACATTTTAACTGAATTAAATTCTTCTCTGATTTGTGACTGTGGCACCTTTTTTACTTTAGTTTAAAAGTCTAAAGTGTAATGATGCAATGACAAGGATGCAAATTTGATACTGACTGAGAGTGAATGGAATATAAAACACACAGATTATCCTGCTGCAGGTTGGCTCTCCAAGAAAATATTGCTTCAATTCAAATTCTGAAAGGTTGCCTCTGTATCTATGTCTCAAAGAAGAAAATCATTTCCAAGAGGATGCTGGGAAATCTGAAACGTCTTTCTGTGATTATATCCCAAACATCAACATCAACATCAACATCAACACTGATCACCGTGGAACAAACACACCACGGTTCTCCGTGTGCATCAGCAGGGAACGAGACGTGAGGAGAAGAGGAACGTCATGAATTTATCACATTCAATCAAACTGCTGCTGAAGACTGTGAAACGTTAGCCTGAAATGACTTCTGCTAAATCAATAACACAGAAGAAGGAGAGAGAAAACAGAGACATCTGTACAGCCAATGGGATCAAGTCAGGATTGAGTTTGATTGAATCAATCCTCCATCAGCTCGATCTGCTCAGATGGTTTCTTCACTAACTCTGTTTCCATCTTCTCCCTCCTCTCCGTCTCATGTCCACTCAGTGACAGAGGCTACAGTGAACCTCTGTGGATCAGGGCGGTACTAACGTCATGGCCTGATAGATGGATTCCACTCCGTATCTCATGGCGAACTCATCCACTATCTCCTGAGACACGTCATCGTAGTAGACCTTCCACGCCTCGTCCCCTTTCACCTGCGGGATCTTCACCACGCCGCCGCTCTTCACCTCGGTCAGATAGTGGAACAGGTTCTGTGAGTGGCACAAGTGATAAGAAGGAAAAGGTTACGGTGATGGATGGCAGCGTTGCTTCCTGTCTATGACGGATGGCGGTGAAGAACGGCTCCAATTAAACCTGGATCCACACGTTCCACGGCAGCAATAACCTGACGTTTGTCACCTGTAGAGTCCTGATGTTATTATGGTCTGTTTATGACTGTGTGTTGACGGACGATGGCAGTGACGGCGTGGTTACCTCGTGTAAACAGGTGTACTGGCCATGAGGGGGCACCACGTTCTCCTCTCCCTTCATCTCCACACTGATCTTGAGCCTTATGGCTCCAGACACGGCCGACTTGTCCGTCCTCTTATCTGAAACACACAGTCACCTTCAGTCAGTGCACAGAGTGTGTGAGACCAAACGTAGATCCTTGGGTTTAGTGAGTCTTATTTCAGACTCAACAACAGCTTTTTAATTTTTATTTCACTCTTCCTATTTTTGTTGAACTTTTTTTATTTCAGATTTGTCTAATTTATTTATAACAATCGTGTCATGTCATGTAGAGTCCTTGAGTCCTGGACCAGGTTAAAATTTTATCTAAATCAATCTGTTTGAGCAATTGGAAGAAAAAGGAACTTGGAGGTCACGGCACTTTGACCTATTGAACTCCAGGAGATTAAAAATCTGAATGAAAAGAAGGCAGAGATCAATCACATCTGATCTGCTGAATTAAACACAAAAGAAAGTCAAACGGAGGAAGATGAGATGGTTCTGTTCTGTGAACGATAACCAACAGCTGCTGCTGAGAACACTTGACTTCCCACTTGTCGAGTCGCCTCTTTTCGCTCTCGAATACCAATCATCTGTCCCTGTGTCAAATGTTCACTGACAGAGAGACAGATGAAAAACGATAACAGGACGGAGCCACGACACTGACGAGTGCTTTGACTGGAGCGAGGATGAGGAGGTGTGAAGAGGAGCTCGGCTCATCCACAACAACAGCAGCAGCAGCGGAGGTCAGAGGTCACCATTCTCACAAATTAACTCCTCTTAGCTTAAGAGCTGAACAACGGCAGCAGCCACTCGTCCAAATACGTCAGCAGGAGCAGCAGAGAGGAAACAGACGGAAACAAGACGACGGAGCCGGGATCCTCGGCAGGAGAACTTCAGATTCTGTCAGGGTGTAATCAGATTACTCTGATTACTTTGATTTCAACTGATCGTTTCTGTAAGAATTTATGGAGTTTACACTCAGGGAAACTTTCCACACAGAAAAGGCAGGTGGAACAATCCATATCCAACACGTGAGATGGAAATTGTCAATATTACTAATGGTAAGTGATTGATTAATTTGTGAAATTGAAAATGATTGATCCAATCATTTCTGTGTGAAACACACACACACACACACATTCACCTGCTGTTATTTGTCTTTCATGTAAATATAAATAAAATATTGAAGAATGTTGTTTTCCCTCAATGAATCATGTTCAACCGTGACTAATTACAGTCATCAATTAATCAAATGATTGACTGGTTTGACTAGGACCAGTTTGACATTAGTTACTAACAGGCAGTAAAATGAATCTGATTGAGTGTGTTTTCAGTGAATGACCCAGTGATGAGGTTGAGGGAACCTACCCAGGTTGTACCAGACATCCATCTCTCCGCTCAGCGTTCGGACCTCTATGATGGTCTGACCCAGGAAGTCGTCCGACTCCCGTTTGAAGTGCTGCTTCACCCGGGACTTGATGTCGTCGTCCTCGTCCCACACTCGGACCTTGATGCGATCGGTGGCGTTGTGACATTCGCTGTAAAACAATCACAACAACAGCATCAACACAACAACAGCATATGCTTCGGTGACGGCTCATTGGACAAAGCTGCTCAATGAGGTAGAAATAAAACCTCAGACTCAGTCACACACTGACCTTTTTATAAAGACAGGAATCATGGCTGGCTATTAATACATGTACCTGAACGTGTGTGTGTGTGTGTGTGTGTGTGTGTGTGTGTGGATGCCTCACGTGTCTACCATAACACTGTGAAGGATTGGTTTCTGCCCCACAGCAAAACTTTACCCCACAACCAGGGCTGCCCTCTACAGGTCATCTCTGACATCGTTCTCTGGTCTTCCTCCTCCCAGATCAGCAGGTTTGTCAAACTCTTATTTTTTCACTCGTAGACCTGCTGACTTCAGTCAGTCTGTTGGACATGAACACAGCCTGGTTTCTGTGTCTTTACCCTCAAACACTGAGGTGCCACTGTGTGCTCAGCCAACCTGTGATGAAGACCTGACTAGAGCTTCATGTAACCATGGCAACGGCTAAGCAGCGAGAGAGAATGGGCTGCTGAAGATCACAGATGATTTCATGTTTCCAGTTGACAAACCAACACTGTCCAGCTGCAGTCCTTGTCTCTTCACGTTGTCGTCACAGATGAAAACCCAGTGCTGATGTCATTTAGCTGTGTTCACTTTCCTAAATCAGCTGTTGGGTTCTACATGCTGGCAGTCCAAATGTCACCTGGTGTCAAGACGCTGACACAGGTAGGACTGGTGAATGTTTGGTTTAGGTTTAAAAGAACATAAATTCAATCTCTCTCTAATTGTTAAATGTACTGTGATTTTTTTTAAATCGCCTTTTGGACAAACGTTAAGGCAAAGAGACGTATGAAATACGAAGGTCACATGAAGGAAACTTGGACAAAGCACATGAGACCAGTCACAGTGACAGAGCTGTGCTGCTAAGGTATTGAAGAAAGAGAGTTTTTTCCTGAGAACAAACAGAGATAAGAGCAGTGTGGTCCACAGTGATGGATGTCAACATAAACCTGTGTTAGTTTAACGACCGGACCTACAGAACCATCACTGCAGCTGCCGCATCGCAGGATTCTGCAGCATCAGTAAGACACTAACTCAGATCCCATTTAGTTGAACTTGATGATTGATGTCAGAAGAAACTTACAAGTAAAACTTCTCGTCCCAGACAGGGTTGAGGTTTCCAAAGATGGTCTTTGTCCTGCGTTTGGTTTTTCCCACCTGCACGGTCACATACGGGTCGCTGGAGCCGGTTTTGTCCTTGGCCTGTAATCCCTGTGCACTCATGACTTCAGGGGACAAAAAAAAAGTCATTTCAGCATCGGAGGCAACATGAAACATCTGTGGACCAACAGTTAGTCTTTAAAATCTGACTCAGGGAAACATGGGTAAAAATAACATAACATGATCTACATCACTGACACTGATTTGTTTGTTTGTTTGTTTGTGCCCTGTGTGAGGATGATTTACTCCTCTTTAAAGGTGGGTCATATAGGTGCCCACCTCTAAATGCCCGTCCTCGTCTCTGACTTTGAAGAAGGAGCACTGACTGTAGAATGAGAGAGAACGGTGCAGAGACTGTAGTATTTTACAGCGCCACAAAAGGGGAAAAGGACACTGGAGCATTAAATATGTATAAGTGGCAGTCTAAATAATTCAGGGTACATATATATCCCTCAGCTCAGCGCTGACAGGACTCAGTGGACAGGATGTGGAGGACCTGGTTGGACTATAAAACTTTCTGTAGTAAATGAAGGGTCTGAGACAAATGGACAGAGTGTACGTCACATCACGACGCTGATCCAGGCCGGAGATGCAGCAACATCACAGTTCACCATCAGCCACAAAGTAAATACAGCTGCAGTAAAAACCACATGTACGTTTATGGTAATGGACAATGGAGTGCTTGGAACAAGACGTTATAACGGCACCGATAAATTCCTCTCTGGAATTCCAACATCATCCGTCACAATAAAGAGTTCTTTACATAAGGAGCAATACTAATACTAATGCTGCTGCTGCTGCATCTTCACCTTAATCTGACGACTACAGAACCAGAGGAAGAAATCAAGAAAATACATCTAAAAGTACCGACACAGACAAAGTCATTAAGGAAAAGTTTGTCAGTTCAGTTTGATCTGATGTTCCTGTGAGTCAGTGTTTATTAACGATCACAATCACAGTAACACAACAGCTCCAGTTGACTGTCTGTGAGTCTGTGATGAAGAAATAACCAGAGTCTGAAACAGAGCTGCAGCCAAACTGAATCTGCTTCTGTCACTCATTCATCAGCTGTAATTTTTAACCCGCTCAGCACTAAACACACACACACACACACACACACACACACACACACTGACCCATATGTCATTGTCTGAACGGCTGTCAGCAGCACCGGGAGAAATCCCACTACAAATGTGTTCCGTAAATATCTGGGCTATGATTGGCCCGTTGTTGGCAGACAGCAAACATTTGTTTCCATTCAGAGCGTGTGTACAGTACGACCGCACACACGCTGCCCCCAGCAGGCCAACATGTCTCAGCTCACATGTTACACTCTCTCTGTGTGTGTGTGTGTGTCTCCTGAACAACAACAAAGACTGACTTCTATTCAGCCTGGAGCAGACAGGGGGTGCTGTTTCTTCCTCCCTGGAACATTATTGAATATTAATCAAGATGATCCTTTTAGACACAAACATGGATGAGTTTAATATGACTTTAATATTAACAACCTTTGCTACAATTACCTGATTAATGACTATGTGGAATTAAAGATTCAGTTCTGTGATGACCCGGGTTAATGACCTGGACCCTGAGGTCACCGATGGACCCTGAGGTCACTGATGAGTAAATGCAATAACAGTGTTCATTGAGATGGAATTGGGTTGTAATGACAGTTTGGTTGATGGGGTGTTACAGATCTGAACCCAGGGCTAAAGGTCATGTCAAAAGGTCAGGGTTAGGGGTATTTGATCATCACCAGCTTCAAAGGTTTTGGTCTTTGTTGAGACGACGAATTAACGTTGAATTAAAGTCAATAAAGACGGCCGGTCCAAACAGACCTAAAGACCACACCCAGTTCCCGACACCTAAAAAACATTCCAAACCAGCAACACCTGTAGTGGGTGGTGCACCAGACAGTCTGTAGACCACCAGATTGAACGTGTTGTGAGTGCTTACCTGTGATGCTGATCTTGGCAGACCATTTGGAGGTTCCATCGAGCACAGCTTGTTTGGCCGTCTTCAGGTGAGTGGTGAAGTCCTCTTTGGAGACGTGGAACATCTCCTGGATGACCTCGAACACCTCAGGGCGGTTCTTCTCTCGTATCTTCATGCGCTCCTTCATCGCCATTATTATGTTCTGGGTCTTGTCCTCGGCACCATGTTTGGAGCTTTTCTCCACAGCTCCTGTGACAGAGGGTGACAGAGTCGCTGCATCACACAGGCTGAGGACGGGGGGTGGGTAGACTGGGGGGGGGGTGGGGACATTTGTAAAGTAGTTTCTTTTTAAGCATAAAGTCAGATCTAATCTGAGACGTTGACTCAGCTGAGCGTGGAGAACGAGAGCTCGTGCACTGACACTGTTGTGTTTCTCTTCCTTCTGCCACTGACGTGTCTTCATAAAGAAGACTCTCACCTGAAGGCGGTTCCTCGTCACAGTATCACAGTTACGTATCTGATTGGAGAACTTGACAAAACCGTGTCTCAGCAGAAACACTCGTGTGGATCTGTTATAAAACACAGACTGTTTTTTATAAACGCCAGGCTGTAGCTGATCCAGTTAAGGTGTGTGAGTGTTGCCCCAGGGACCGGCCCCGAGCCTCACATTGTTCCACTTCCACTGCGCTGAAACAACAGCGCTGTGCTTGATTGAAAAAGCTGATTAGAATGCAAGCGAGGAGACTAAGTGGTGTAAATGCAGCGTGTCACTCAGAGTAATGGATGGAAGTGGGACACGGGACATGAATTACACATGTCTTCATAATGACATTGACATGAAGTGGAAATGCTGCAGTGGGGTTGTTTAAAAAACTGTATTAAAATGGTGGAAAAAAGGGAATAGACTTTTTTTTTTCTGCTTGTAATGTGTGGTGATTAATAACATGAGCGAGGACATCACATCCAAGGATCCAAGGACGTCTTCTTACTTTGTAAACAATCTGCATTCAGCAGGTCCTGGCATTTCTCGTGGCATTTGACTCCACATTCTGAACAGCGCATGCCCTGACGAGCAATCCCCCACAGCAGCCCCTCGCACTCATGGCAGTAGGTGGGGGCTGTGGCCGTCCAAACCTCAAAGTTATGGGGGGTTGTAGATGAAATTGGGTAGATCAAAGCCTGGAGAGTCTTTTTGAAGACGTGCAGTTTCTGAAAGTCAAAGGAGACAGAAGAAGAAACAACAACGACATTAAAAACTGGAGAAACAAACAATAAATCAAACCTCAAAAGGTTACAGAGAGAGTTTGTCCTGAATCAACTCCACAATCACCACAGATGAAGTGTCAGCTTCACAGGAGGGATTTGATTCACAAAAACATCAGAGGTGGTCAAAGTGAGTGGATGATCAAACTGAGTCAGGATTTATTCAAAAGTAAAAGGACTAAACCACTCGGTCAGAGTTCAGTCAGACTGAGCTTAAAGTTTAAAGTCATTCAAATCAAATTCAATTAACATCAGCGCTGAAAAAGTTACTCTTCAACCACAACAAATCATCAATGCAGGGTGTGTACTACAGGGTGTGTACTACAGGGTGTGTACTACAGGGTGTGTACTACAGGGTGTGTACTACAGGGTGTGTACTACAGGGTGTGTACTACAGGGTGTGTACTACAGGGTGTGTACTACAGGGTGTGTACTACAGGGTGAAGTGTCGTTTATTAACCAGTGAAGCTGATGGTCGAGTTCAGATTTTCATCATAAATATATAATTCTGTGGTAAAGTTATCTGGTTTATATTTTATAGGAGATGTTAATATTTTATATTTAATTTTTATTAGTTTATATTGCCATAAAATATTTAGGATATTTTAGGTTGTAATATTTTGTAGTAATTGTAAATGTAATTTTTATTACTATTAAGGCATTAATGTTTGCAGGAACATTTTTATCCATAGTTTTTATTTTTGTATCTTAAATTTGGGTAAATAAATAATAACTGACAATATTTAAATTTTTTTAATAAATAATAATAATAATAAATATGTCCAGTTTATTCTGATTTTACTCCGTGTTCTGGGAAGATTGGATCCTAATAATGTACAGGTTCTGGTTGTTGTTAAAGATTAAAATGATTTTAATTCCATATTCAGTCACTGTTTAATCTGATACTTGTGAAGGTGGATACTACAAATAAGTCGAGTTCTTTTCAAGTACGTTCAACGACTACACAAAGGTTGCTAATGGAGACAAACCTTTTTAATACCAAAGTACTTGTTTCAGTATTTTCAATAACCTGCAGTTTCTCGTCCTTTACTTTGTAAAATCATCGAAGGTTTTTTAGATTTCATAAGAGAAACTGATAATCTAATAATCCAGATTAAACTCTGTTGACCGTCCCTCGACCACTCCACTCCACTGAGGGGGTAAATCAGGATGATGTCTGATTAGGACTGAATGAACAGCCTCCTGACTCCAGAGTCTTTGTTCACATCGAGTGGTTCAGTCACACATTTGGTCCAAAGACTGAGGTCCACTAACGTCTAACGTCCACTAAAGCCTTGACGGATCGCTGTTACAGCAGCCTCCCCAAACGGAGTGCTTTACTGCGGCCGCCCGTCCGTCCGTCCACGAGGACAGGAGAGGGAGCCAGCTGCTGCCAGTTCTTGAAGGCTGGATCAATGCATGCTGTAAATAAGGTTTTAAAAGCAGGCATTACCCAGATTGAGAGAGAGACCAAGTGAGAAAGAAAGTGAGAGAGAAAGAGAAGGAGACACGTGGCAGCTGAATAAATCTCCAGATTCACAGAGAACTCTTCCACTTCCTTTCTCCTCCTCCTCCTCCTCCTTACAGTAACCTCTTCACAGCCTGGACCGCTGTAACAGCAGCCTCCCCAAACGGAGTGCTTTACTGCGGCCGCCCGCCCGTCCGTCCGTCCACGAGGACAGGAGAGGGAGCCAGCTGCTGCCAGTTCTTGAAGGCTGGATCAATGCATGCTGTAAATAAGGTTTTAAAAGCAGGCATTACCCAGATTGAGAGAGAGACCAAGTGAGAAAGAAAGTGAGAGAGAAAGAGAAGGAGACACGTGGCAGCTGAATAAATCTCCAGATTCACAGAGAACTCTTCCACTTCCTTTCTCCTCCTCCTCCTCCTTCCTCTCACTGTCAACTCCTGGTGCTTTAACACCTGGACGGTCTTGTCTACACTGAGCCACAGCCAGGTCTTCACTGCCCACTTCGTCTGCCTCTCGATCTCTCTCACACACACACACACACACACACACACATCTATCCCTAAAGTTCAGGGATTCCTTGCTTCCTGCGTCCCAAGAATACACTCCCCTCATTGACCAATGAACAGCCTGCAGCTGTGATGATGTAATCACTTGCTCATCAGGAAAGTGTTAAAGAAGCTGCTGATCCATAAAGCAGTACAGTACAGGTCAGGTCAGTACAGGTCAGTAC